ACCAAAGACTATTGAAGCACTTGGTAAAGGCATAGAGAGAAATGCTCACACTGGTGTCGCTTTTGACAGATTTAAAGCGCACAAGCTGTCCTTTCTGAAGCAACAGCACTTGGAGCAGATTATGTCCACAGCAGTAGAGATTGTGTTTGCTCAGTAATTGCTTATAGGGAATATGGAAACAAAACGTCGAGATCAGCGTTAAACGTTTGTGCAACATGTGATCAGGTTTTAGCACCAAGACTCCTACACTGTATTAGTAAACATCCAGCTGGCTAAGAAAGTGGTGGTTAGCTTTCCCTGACGCTTTGATATGCTTTGTTTTATTTCGTTTCTTGACTCTATCTTTTTTCCTGACTTAATCAATTAAGGCAAATGGGTTATGGGTAAATTGGGAATCGTTGTGTTGGGATAACTCTTAATCCTCCTTTTACGGCTTTTGTTTTGGCGTTTTCTCATTTTATATTACCAGTATGTACGCATCTTGAAGTGATGGTTGCATCTGGTATAACATGCAAATATAATGAATGTGACGAATGAGAGCAAAATTACCTGGTTTTAAACGGATCAGTTATGAACAAGTTGGTTATTAAACGGTGATATTTCTTGGCTATTTTTCTTATCACAGACTACTTCATGAAAAGCGGCGGCAATCTTTGAGAATTACATTCGTGACCAACGTGTATGAGGCAGCTAAATTTCACGACCAATACATTAAATTGTGAAGAACCTGAGCTTTAGTTAAAAAAAAATGAATGTTCTTGACTAAAACGGAATTTATCGAGAGAAAACTCCGAGATAGCATGTACCATGCAGGTGAAAAGCACTTTTCGAACGCGCTGATGGCCTAGTCCGGACGTAACGTAATTTGCAATGATTTTTCTCCTACGAGCAGCACAATATACAAAATCGTGCATCAAGGGTTAAATTTCCGACCATGTTTCTTAACATTGAGAGAAAGAAATCATTTTTTCTTCACTGTGTGATATATGATAAAACAATTATTCATCTCAGTGTTGATGAAAGTGTGAACATTTGCCACGCTGCTTCGCGGCTCGGTAAATATCCACCACTAGTCACCTCAGCTTTGGTTAATAACCGTTAACTATTTTGAATCTTATCGTATGTCAAGGTAGCATGCGCTACCATCTAGAGCTCCTTCGCTTTCCTAATTTTTTGTCTTTAATCTCCGTGCTTAAACAAGCCTTGTCAAGACAAAGGCACCTGCCGTTCAAATTACGTGAGCAACAGTTACGTGTGTGTTTGCACAGAAGGATACACAGGAAGTAACTGCGAAGCAGGTAGGCAACGATTTGTAGTCATCATTCATCGTTCCTTCTTTCAAAGTTTTTTCTTTAACTTTCCAGCATCTAATGGTACATGACATCGCCCTGAGATCATAGTAGAGCCCTCTCTAGGAAATATTCGAACACTTAATTCAGTTTGTACACAAACGAAAATCCGAGCTGCCAGTACAAAATGCAGGGAAATGACGAGGCGATCTCTGTAAGAGCGGTCCAGGGCATTTCGCATCGGAAAAAGGTTTTCCCTCAAACTTTACCCAATAAACTATCTTTGGTAACAAGTAAATAAAACCACATTAGTTTTTGGAAATACCTCAAAATAAAATTTTTAGAGCTCTCAAAAGTCAAAGCTGCAAAAGGCCCTTTTTTGACCTCTTGCGACATCGAAAATTTCAAATGTTGAATAGCCCGGTCCTCGTATCACACCGCATGCAACAAAAAATATTTTGTATTCTTAAAGTGTGTGATATATAAGGTGTATAAAATGCATTTCAATTTTGATATTCGTTTATTCAGAGGCTCGTCATAATTTATTTAAAAACACTCGTTGGACAGCTTTCTGAAATTGGTTAAAAGTACTCTTTCTTTCTCGATTGATATTGCTCAAGTCCAGACCAGACCATTAAAAACTCCGCTTGATTTCTGCTAATAAGATGTTTGGCTGCAGAAAAATATAAAAACATCTTGCACTTATTGATTTTCTTCGCCGAGGTGACTTCGAACTTTTAGCGATATTGCAAGCGTGACAGCCGATTATGCAAATTAGTTCATTGAGCAAACTCCGACCGTTTTATGTGAGTAGCTCAATAAATCTTAGAAGTAGAAAATATAATAGAAAATATAGTAGGACAGAGCTTTAAACCACACCGATTAATACCTTAAACATTTTAAAAGGCCAAAATTTGACAAATTTTATTATCTCGTGACGAAAGACGTCAACAACAACGTATCGAATATCAATTTGATTAGCGCTCGCAAACCCCTTTTTAAAAATTTGGCTTCTGTTATTTCATATTTGAGTTCTGATGGCTTACGCTATTCAAACCTGTATGAACATTTCAAAACCAAACTACAGGATTCTATTTAGTGTAACCGGCGATAACAGCACACACTGAAATACACCGTGACCACTGTCACATAATTCAATTGTACATGTGTAATTATCCTCATTTGCTTCTCCCTTCTTAATAAAGCAGCGATAACATCGCCTTTTGGATCCGAATTCTGGTCGGCAGGAATAAGAGAAATTTTGTCTGCACACCTGTCTTTATGAAAGTTTCTATTCAGAACTCTAGGGAGTTCTTGTGGAAAAGGACCACGCGATTTTTGAGGAAATAAATTATTACGTTACGTGTGACCTCATTTTTCCAACAATTAGCTATATCTATACTGTAAAGTGCGTAATTATATTAGCTGTAATTCATATTTCTCTTTCGGTACTGGTTTGCTTGGGATTAATAACACTAAATTCTTGAAGCGGTATTCGCCAAAAGAAGTCCTGTTTTCAGTCGCGTTCTTCAGAAACTTCGTTAGAAGACTCACGAGGAGTTTCCGGTTTGTTTAACTTGCCTCAGAGTACTGACTCAATAAAGAGTCATCTCTGCTTAATCCATTTGTCAAAAGAGAGTTTCACAGAAGGAGAGCTTATCTTTGCAAGGGCTGGCCTGTTCGATGCAGAAGACTCAGTTATGGCAAAATGTGGGTCTGCGCAAAGCATAGGCACACTTATGGGAAGTTCTGGCGCCAAAGTTCAGCGTGCCAGTATCCGACACACCCTGGTAGCGATTCCAAAGGGCTAAAGAGCCGGTATTCTGTCAATTTGCAAAAGTCAAAGGCCATTTCTAAGATGTATGGTGTTATATAGAGGTTTACACGATACTGCAGCTGAGGGAGCGGATGGTTTCAAGGATTTTCTCCAAATTATAGACGAATTGGAAAGCGTGGGAGCAGAAAAGGACTAGTGTAAAGAAGTTCGGAAGAGGCTTCAGGAGAGCAAGTTGTATTTGAAGACTACATACCGTAATCACTGCGAAGAGGACGATAGCAAATGTGCCGATCACTGTAGGGTCTTTGCACTGAGCTATGCTGGTGACACTGAAGTTCAGAAAGTATGCAGTCACAGTCACAACGTGAAGTGTGAGGATTGTGAGATGTTGAAGAGTGTTCTTGAAGAAGTAAAAGGCGCTATTTCTGAGTGCTTGAACCCTACACAATGCAATTGGGTAGGGTTCAAGCGGAAGACTATCTGTATGAAGCAAAAAATGCTGCCGCTAAGACCTTTGAATGGAGAGGGTATATCCTGAGAGCAGAAACCAGGATCAGTACGAGCTGCAAATTTTCGATACTTTGGAGGGAGATGAAGCATTTATAATAGTTGACTGGACAATGAAGTTCATAGCGATGAAGTTCCGGGAAAAGCAAGCAGAATGGTTTCCCTAGAGGGAAATCAATTGGCATGTGAGTAGCGCTGTTGTAAGACAGGAGGAAAGCCTGGAAGTAACCTGATACGTAGACCTTCTTAACAGCTGTAAAAAAGACTGGTTTTCAGTGCTGTCAGTCCTAGAAAATCTCTTTGTCACCATAAAGTTAAGAAATTCAGGAATAAAAAAGGCCCTTTATAAGATCGGATGAAGCAGGTTGCTATCACAACAGTAAGCTAGTATCAACTCTACGAGGGCTCGGACATCACGATTGCCACTTTCAGCAACTTACACAAGAGGGCCTGCGCGTTTGGAGAGCGTTTAATGTTGGGTCTGGAAAGTTTATTCGGTAAAATTAAAATTGCAATTTTTCCACAGAAAAAATGACGGATCTGGTGAAGGAGATTCCATTTTTCCCCACTACTGCTCGACGAACTGCATCAGCAGGAGAAAGCAATGATGGCAACGACGGTAGTTCCTATCAATGCCCTGAACCTGGTTGCGATGAAGATTTTAAGACGCAGGCCGACCTTGACTTCCATATGAACTAGCTAGTTCATCATGTAAGTCCTGTGCCTGCGAGCATGACTTAAAGTCTTTATGACAAAGTGAAGAGGTAGTGGGTTCATTACTTTCAGTCATTGTCATTAGAGGGTGAAAGTTCGACTGAACTGGTTGCAGTGGCCACAGAACCCTTGACAAGTACATCAAAGCTTCCCATGGGATGGGCTCTTCATAAGAGAGGTGCAAGTGAACGGCTTTCGCAAAACGTCAGGCAGTACTTGAAACAGAAATTTAATATCGGATGAGACACTGGCAGAAACCAAACCCAGTGAAAGTAGCAAAGGATATGCGAACTGCTTGCACAATAGATGGAGAGAGAATGTTCGATAGAACAGAGTGGTTATCCAACATACAGATTCAGGGTTTCTTCTCGAGATTGTGCCTTAAACAGCAATCTAAAATACAACAAGAATCGGATGATGCCACCGACGCAGACGACCACTTGATAGAAGCATCCGCGTCTGATGTAGACGAAGGGTGTTTGAGAGAGGCGAGGAACACAGTAATGGATGAGATAGATTGAAACATCCAATCATGTTTGATATCTATGATGTGTGCTCGTTGGCAAGAGAAGCAAGGTTGTCTAGTCTCAAAGTCAAGATGCTAAGAGACATATGCGAACATTTTGAGCTCGCATTCAAAATGCAAGATACAAATGCAGCACCTCTTGCAAAAATGGAGGAAATGATTTCAGAGTGCAGTTGTTATGCAATCTAGTTATGACGTCCACCCGTTATGCGAATGCGATATCTTTTTTTACAAGAACTCTTCAAACTTATGAACAGAGACTGTTATGCAGACAGATGTGACGACCAAATATCATTTTTTCCCTTTCAGCGAGAAATCCGAGAAATCGCTGCTTTATTTAGACGTGAGAAGTATTCAGGACAATTACACGATGGAATTACGTGACAGAGTCACTGGTCACGGTGAATTTAGTGTGTGCTGTTATCGCCGGTTACACTAAATAGAATCCTGTAGTTTAATTTTGAAATGTTCATACAGGTTTGAATAGCGTAAGCCATCAGAACTCAAATATGAAATAACAGAAGCCAAATTTTTAAAAAAGGGGTTTGCGAGCGCTAATCAAATTATGATATTCGATACGTTGTTGTTGACGTCTTTCGTCACGAGATAATAAAATTTGTCAAATTTTGGCCTTTTAAAATGCTTAAAGTATTAATCGGTGTGGTTTAAAGCTCTGTCCTACTATATTTTTCTACTTAAAATGGTTAAAATCTAAGATTTATTGAGCTACTCACATAAAACGGTCGGAGTTTGCTCAATGAACTAATTTGCATAATCGGCTGTCACGCTTGCAATATCGCTAAAAGTTCGAAGTCACCTCGGCGAAGAAAATCAATAAGTGCAAGATGTTTTTATATTTTTCTGCAGCCAAACATCTTATTAGCAGAAATCAAGCGGAGTTTTTAATGGTCTGGTCTGGACTTGAGCAATATCAATCGAGAAAGAAAGAGTACTTTTAACCAATTTCAGAAAGCTGTCCAACGAGTGTTTTTAAATAAATTATGACGAGCCTCTGAATAAACGAATATCAAAATTGAAATGCATTTTATACACCTTATATATCACACACTTTAAGAATACAAAATATTTTTTGTTGCATGCGGTGTGATACGAGGACCGGGCTATTCAACATTTGAAATTTTCGATGTCGCAAGAGGTCAAAAAAGGGCCTTTTGCAGCTTTGACTTTTGAGAGCTCTAAAAATTTTATTTTGAGGTATTTCCAAAAACTAATGTGGTTTTATTTACTTGTTACCATAGAAAGTTTATTGGGCAAAGTTTGAGGGAAAACTTCTTTCTGATGCGAAATCTAAGTAGGCAGTGGTTTAGCGTCGTGTGTACTCTGATCGACACGATATTCGTCACAACAATAAAACGACTCTAACAGTGCTTAATCATTGCATGACACGTTGACGTAAGCACCGTTGTCTGTATTCTTATAGACAACGACAAATTCGCTAATCAGATTGCAACATCACTACCGATTGTTGTAAAAAATGTCTTTTTTTTCTTTTCTTTGGTTCAAATAGATATTGATGACTGCACGAACCGTCCTTGCCGTAACAATTGAACCTGCCCTGAACGTATTGGTGGCTTCAAGTGCGCATGTCCGAAAGGTTTTGATGGGCTCCGATGTGAAATAGGTAAGTTACGTTGAACTGTCTATAACCAAAGCTTCCTCGCATCGTTGAGGTTCAAAGGCAGTACTAGTGCCTGTTCACGCTTGGTTTAGGCTTTTTGCGACTCTCTTCTTGCTCAAAGGACTCCTTATCTGAATTCTATACTTTTCCTTCCCGCTGTAAAAATTACAGCTTGACGTGGGGGTAAACATTGCATGAAGGGCCATAGCAGGGATGTACGGCTTATTCAAACTTACTAAACTATCGATAATCTATAGAACTGGCCTAATATGCAGGTATCATTGTACATTTAGAAATGTATTGCTATTGTTATTCTTGTTATTATTTTTGCTGATGATTTGTATAATTAAAGTGAGTAAATCAATCAATCAATCAATCAATATCTGGGCATCTGCCCACCTGCCCCTCCCCTAACCCAACATTAACCTTAACTTGTTGTCAACTGACTGCTGTTAAGTTAGCGGAGGGGTAGGTGGGCCGTTACCCAGATACTGAAATTGATCTAATAAAGGAATATAGAAGGAGGACCTAATAACTCTCTTGCCCTCTATTATCTTTGTTTTGGCCTACTGACATTTTTCAAAACAAGCATAAAACTATACCAGATAAGCTCATTCCAGGAAATAGATACTACTTAAAGACTGCTGAAAATATCTTTTGCCACTAAACTGTAAGCATAACTTGGATCAAAGAGACAACAGATTTGGGTTTGTACACCGTTGATGCAACAAATCATGTTCTTATAATAACTGCTATTCAAATTCATACTTCTATGACAGTCCCCAAGGTGGAAGTCGTTCGCTCCTGTGACAAATCACCTGTGTGGCAACTCCATAATGGGGATGTTATCATCGAGTCGAATCAGATTGGCACAAACTACGAAAACAGTTTGGACGGCCATTGGATGTTATCTTCAAATGCAAGAATAGAACTTGCCTTTATGATTTTCGAATCAAGGAACACTCATGATGGTGTTCAAATGCAGTGAATTCCAGGCGGTTTTCCCTCAAGCCATTAGGTTTCTTCAGTCTGAGACTTCCGGTTTCTTCCCTAACTGTTTCCAAGGAAAGAATTCTGCCTTATAGCCTTAAGCACTTCCTCTTTATAACGTCCTCGACCTAGACTTTCTTTTTTTAATTTGTCTCTAAAATTCTTGGAAGATAGAGACTTGGATGCAATCCAACGCAGTCCAAGATAACTTTCAACAGACCCCAAGATCGAGCAATTGAATAATTGGTGGACAGTTCAATCAAATCATAAATCAGTTGATATCGAGTCCTCTTTTCTCTCAAAGTTTTGACAGATGGTGCATTGCGTATAGCCGGTAATAATCCATTCACTGGAAGGATAGAGGTCCTTTTTAATAATAACTGGGGCACAATTTGTGACAATGGGTGGAACATCGACGCAGGCCTGGTGGCCTGCAAGCAACTTGGCTTCGACAGGGTTTCCTAAGTCTTTAGCGGCGCCAGTCATGGCCAAGGAACCGGTCCAATATGGATAAATGCGGTGAATTGCTTTGGAAATGAGTCTTCAATTTCCAGTTGTGGACACAGTGGTTGGGGTAATCATGAAAACTGCACTCATAGGCAAGATGCCAGTGTAACTTGTTCGCATGACTCTCTTCCAATTCGTTTGGTGGATGGTGGGGCGAGCTACGGTCGTGTTGAAGTGTTTGACAGTGGGGTCTGGGGAACAATTTGCGATGATACATGGGATATAAATGATGCAAATGTGGCTTGTAAGCAGCTTGGCTTCACTGGAGCTTCCTCTGCTAGCACTAGTGCAGCACATGGTCAGGGATCAGGTCCTATGTGGAGAGATCACATGAACTGCGTTGGATCAGAGAGCTCGTTATTCGAGTGTCCATTCACCCAGGAAGGATTTAACCACTGCCATCGGCGAAGACTCAGGCGTGGTTTGTTACTGATAGATGGGAAACTTGAACTTGTTTAAAGCACCTTTGCTTGAACACGAACTCTGAACAGACATGAGAACCCAGCGTTCAGTTAATTCACACAAGAAAGTTTCCTAACCAAGCCTCATCACATAAATTAAAATACAGTAGCACTGTTTTCTTTTTTGGGTTCGCCTGTCAATTTTAGACTAACCCCTTCCAAGCTGTAACTTGAAAATATAGTGAAAGATAGTTACTGATTAACTATCGTGTGTTTTCATGGCGTGCCTCTTAAGGCAACTCTTTAAAACCATAAATTCCCATGACGCTGCCATTGTAAAGTGTAGTCGTAATTTCATGTAAATGACACTATTATTGTTACGGTTGGTTTTGCATGGTTTTTTTTTTATGTTCCGTTTTTTCTCCGTGTTTCACTAAATGAAAATAGTATTATGTTTCGTATTAAATCCTTTTGATAATAATCATTAATTCGTCAAATTCCGGTTTAGAATAAATAAAGAATAAAAGCAGTACCTTTAAACTGTTGTAGCGTTCATCAATGTAAATGTGCAAATTTTGCTACAACCCGAGATAAAAAAAAAAGGAAAACGTTTCTTCGCATTGTTGCCAGATAGGCCGAAAAAAAGCAAATACGCTTAATTTTGTCCCTCGAGTTCCCGTATTACCGCCTGTATTACAGGTATATCCTTGTCGCCCAATTAGATGCACTAGCTTGCCTAGTAAAATAAGTTAGCAAGCCATTATGAGGATTTGTTATTGTTTGTATAACGCACCTTTTTATGTCTAAAACCAAAAGAGACAAAATCAATAAAAGCATTATTTCAGCAGGCGTGTTTTCGGGCAAGTTTACCTGCGGTCGAATCAATAATCGCATATCGAAAAAGCATATTTTTCTTCAGATCTGCATCATGCCAAAAAAAGAAAAAGCCTTATCAAAAGCAGTGTTCATAAACACAGGGCTGTAAATGGAAACACGAAATAAAAGCGCTTTACGACATCATCTTAGGCAGCACACCATTCCAGATTTTTTCTTCGTCACCATCATCGGTAATGTTAAGATCCCATATTCATTGTCGCTGTTGGAGTATGCTGCCTCGGATTCTGGTAAGTCCGCTGGCTATCACAGGACGAATGCTCTTATTTCAGAGCCTTTAGGCAAAACCTAAAGCAGCCTTAACAATTGAATTAAGCTTTAGGCGTCTTTAATTGTCAACTGAAATATCCAAAAGCTAACAGTTACCTTTCATGAATCTTTACTTGAACATAAGGTGAACTTTAATAACGCAAATCTTTTAGCATCCTTTAAGTGGTCTCTTTTTTGGCACAAAGGAGGGTTTTTAAGTAATATACATTAATTTAACTTTAAGGTGAGAATTGAAAGAGTCTCGTTGTTTTGACATCTTTAATTGACGCACTAAAGATTCTTTATTTTAGTCATATTTTGTTCAACGCGCAACAGCAAACTTTGTCGTGCTCACAATTCTTTCTGGGGTCGAAACATCTGTATTGAAAGTGACGGTTTTAATTTTTGTATCTCCTTTAAAGAACGCATTCAGTGCAATGACAAGAAAGCATGTTTTCTGCGAGTGACCTTTCTGCGCTTACTTTAATGACTTCGTATTACGTTCGACTTTCGAAAGGCATGGGCGGAAACGTAACAGGAAGAACGTAACTGCTATTCAAAAGACAGGAAGTTTTCAGAACGGACAATCCATGTTTCAGCTCTCAATAAAGTACTCTTACGGGTTATGGTAACGAAAAAAACCAACAAACAAACTAATTATACGGCAACATCAAACGACAACCAAAAATTATTAGTAGATAACATCGTTTTTGCAAAATTGTCCTGTTTGTTTACTACAAGCTTGTTTTTTTAACATCTTGGTCAGTTTATGCCACTCGGCCAATATGTTCTGTTTAACAATTTACAAGGTATAAGTTTGTGCACAAACTCCGCGTTCTTCCTTTCTCACCTGTTCAAGACGCTCTTCCTGAACAAAATCTGTGGGTCCTGTAGGGAATTGGTGTAAAAGAAAAAAATTAGTTGGCAGTTGTCTATCGCCTCAAGCAACGTTGAATAGCATTTACGTTCTCATGTAAATATAAATATCTATAGTAACTTATATATATGTAACTCTTCCATATTCAAGGTAACTAACCTTCATCGTCAGATGAATTTGAAATTTCGTGAAAGAAATCACGGGAATTTGAAGTGGCCCCGAAAGTATCTGTTAAGTTCGTCTCGTTACGTTTTCGCTTATGCCTTTCGAAAGTTGAACGTGATACGAAGTCATTACAATGAGCGCAGTAAACATATCCTTTATTGTCATCTCGCTCCATGCGTTCTTTAAAAGAGATGCGAAAATGATAACCCGTCGCCATCAATTTAGATATTTCGACAAAATTTGCTGCTGCACATGGCAAATAAAGTTGCTATTCTTGGCCAACGCAAGTGTTGACTAATTTGTAATGCATTTCCTATTGACAGTTCAGACTACAATAAGACTATATTTAGTGCGTTAATTAAAGAAGTCAGAACAGCGAGACTCATTTAACTCTCACCATAAAGTTAGATTAAATGTATATTACTTAAAAACCCTTTTTTTGCGCCGAAAAAGAGACCACTTAAAGGATGCTAAAAGATTTGCGTCATTAAACTTCAACTTATGTTCAATTAAAGATTAATGAAAGGTAACTGTTTGCTTTTTTTGGATATTTCGGTTGACAATTAAAGACGCCTAAAGCTTAAATCAACCGTTAAGAATGCTTTCGGTTTTGCCTAAAGGAACCGAAATAAGAGCATTCGTCCTTTGTATCCATGAGATTTCTTGTATACATGCACTGATTTACTGCAAGTTTCTGTTGGTCCTCAGCAACCCATTAAAAAAGTGTATGTACGGTATTTGTTTCGCTTGCAGCCGTAGGAGCGCCCTATGCTTAGTATAAAGCATTCAATCATCATTAATGTGTACTGCTTACCCGAGCTGAACGCCACTAGAGTAATTAAAATCACAGAGAAAAAAATGCATTGACCTATGGCTGTGCGGTTGAGAGTTGAAACCAAATTTCCCTTTTAGAAAGAGCTTTCTCGTATCTTGTCTGTCGAAAGAGAACGAATTCAACAGGCTTGTGAACGTTTGCAGTTTTACCCGCATCTGATCTTGTGACGTCAAGACTTCACTGCCGGCTTTGCATCAGTATGTGCAGCCAGCTAATTTCCATAATTTTTTTCCCGCGCAAAGCTCGTAAAACCGTAAAACCGCAAGATCAGATGGGGTAAATGCGCACAAGCCTGTTGCAAACGTGCACAGGCCTGTTGCATTCGTTCTCTTACGACACACAAGATACAAGAAGCGCTTTCTAAACGGAAAATTTTGTTTCAACTCTCAATCGCACAACTATGGGTCATCACATTTTCTTTTTCTATGTGACTTTTATTACTCAAGTGGCGTTCAGCTCAGGTAAGCAGTAACACATTAGTGATGACTGAACTCATGGTATTGAGCACGGAGCACTCCTACGGCCGCAAGCGAAACAAATACCGTACTTGCACCTTTCGAATGGATCGCTGAGGGCCAACAGAAACTTGCAGCAAATCGATTCCTGCATACAAGAAATCTTAAGGATAGTGGCGTTGTCGGAAATTCGATATTTCATTCTGTTATCAAAGGAGATAAGGGCAGAATTCATTGTAGAACAAAAATTATAACCTACGCGTTTCGAGATATCCAGGCTATTGTTGATATGTTGAGATTCTACATTGGAGAGAAAACTAAAATGTAATTCACAACCAATGTTAAAGTAATGTACCTTGCTCGTTACGAAATCTCAAATTTTTTCAACCTAATTCTAGCCTAGCTCACTTTAGCATCTCTGTTTGTCTGTGATTTAGCTTCAAAACGCGTAATCCAAAAGTCTGAGGTTCGATTTCTTACTGGCACTCTTATTTTGTCCTTACGCTCGATACATGGCGAAAAAGGAAGCCGGATATATTTCTTCATTTTCACTAGCACTGTTATTCGTAAAAAAATTCGGTTGTTCATTCAGCTCGAACCATCTTATGTTTATCATTGTCGATAAACCTCTATGAAAAAATCCAGTGATAGAGCGATATAGTATTAAAGGCGCTTTACGAGTCCGTAAATTTCTCTTTGTTGATTACAAATCGCAAGCGAAGGAAATAAGATGTTAGCAAGATTACTTTCAATGATTGGGTCATTGCAAATATTACATGTAGAAAACATTCAATATATTTCAGTTAGCATTGAGTTATTTAAAAAAAAAAACGCGAAGTTACGCAGTAAAATTGTTGAGCCTTTTGAGCATATGGAAACTGTGTCGGCTTTTGCATGACTATTACATGTTGATTCTGTCAGTGATATCATAAAAACTATAATCTCAACAAGTATTTTGGGATGACTGGGCATGATGATAGATTATGGCTGCAATCAGTCGAATTATTTTTTCGCAAGACGCGTTCGTTTCGCAGGAAACGTTTGCTAACAAATTGTGTAGTGGTATCCTTGCAGCGAAAAGTGAGATGAATTTAGATATGAGGTGAGACTATCCTGGCGTCACTGTCCGTGCAACAGATAATTTGGAGCGGGTTGGATGAGGACAAAGTCAAAACCCTCAGCTCGCGACTGTTTCTTCGTCTTTGAATTGAACAAATGTTTTTCGATCCTTTTGTTTTGCCACGCGCTGTTGCAATCGTCCCCTTTATGTTATAAACCACTAAAACTATACAAAGACTTGTATTTCATGCCTCTTATCCGAATTATTTGAATTCATTTGTCAAAACGAGCATATCTGAATCGCATAACCTAACGCAAATAACTCGAATGTTGTTTCCACAGTTTGAAACTTTATTTTTCTGTCCTTTCAATGCAACCAGTTATACTAAGCGACCTGGATTACATGTTCTTTGTATCAAACAATTCTACAACGACGCACAAGACAGTAAAAGTAATCTCCAAACAAGACATGGCTCTAAGAGATTAAATCTCTTGAGTGCTCGTTTGTGAAAGTATTCTTGTGAGCTTTTTCCGCTTAGAATTGTTGTGGAATAAGCACTAGACTGAATCAAATTGATGTGGCTCCATGACTGCCAGATATGAAACTATTGCTTTCTCTGGTCGTAAATTCATTTTGATCAGGTCAAATTATCGTCAGGAAACTGAAAGTTCTTTCTCTTATTTTACTATAAAAATGAAATCTTTTCATCTGATGAAGGGCGAAATGGCACTAAAAAGGTTTAATTTATTAGTGATTCTCTATACGGGCAAAAAAAAATTATATCATGTGTATCGCAGATTGATTATCGATCGAAATGACCCTCTTTTGCTAGAAACTTCTATCGTTCAGGATCATGCGGTGAGAAACTGAATTGAATGTACCAGTTGTTATGTTATTTCCTTTGTCAATGCGATAAATTATTGGGAGTATTTCTAGAACATATTTCCTTTCGACTTAAGCCATTAACTTTGTTCCAGCAAGCAGCTAATTTAATTTCTTCTGTATCGAGAAGACACTTGGAAGGGTGAACTCTAAAATCCTAACCCTTTTGATGAGATATCTCACAAACCTTAATTGATATGAAAATAAATGACCTTCTGCCATCATTTCAGCCTGATAGGAAACTCGGTTGGTGATCGCAAAGCTATTGAAATATAACAAAAGATAGAATATAAAATACTGAACACAGGGGCTCTTCCACCCTGACTTTAAATCAACTTATAGCCCCTGGGTCTTTGAAAACATACGAGGGATTTAAAAACATCGGACGACCACGAGAAAGATTTAAGACAAAAACTAACCAACAGTTTTACGTCTCCAATAAAAACAACAGTTAACTCCGAAACGAACGACAATAGCACGTGCACATGACGCGTACTGTCCAAAGTCCTGTTCCTATTATTGCTACAAATGGGCTCGCATTTTTTTTTTTCATGTTCCGTTTTTCCTCCGTGTTTTCTCCATTTACACAAAGTGAAAATAGTATTATGCATGGAATTAAATCCTTTCGATAATAACCATTAATTCGTTTAATTCCAGTTCAAAATGAATAAAGAATAAAAGCAGTACATTTGAACTGCTGTAGCGTCCATCAATGTGCAAATTTTGCTACAACCTGAGATAAAAAAAAAGGAAAACGGTTTTCCACATTGTTGCCAGATAGGCCGAAAAAAGCAAATACACTGAATTTTGTTCCTCATGTTCCCGTATTACCGCCTGTATTACAGCTATATCCTTGTCACTAAATTAGATGTACTCGTCAGAGCGAAGGGCTAACGCTTGAAAGGTCAGCATTCCCTCTGAAGAAAGAGATAATGCTCAAAACGTTAGCTCTAAATTTCACTGCCCCCGGAGCTCACCGAAGGTATTCTCATAACATTAAAACATAAATGTGACAAGATAGAGAAAATGATCGAACAGGGAATCCTGTTTGATTTAAAACCAACCTCTCAGTGCTAAAATTACCAGTAATCTATAGAGAGAATGCAGAGAAATAATATGAATAGGTCTTAGAAAAAGAAGTGTCATTGAACACTAATGCGTAAACATGGAAAAATAAGGAATACATGAAAGAGCCGACATACCCACACAAATATGCTCACGATACGGTACATATACTACTATCATGATTTAGTGTAATCGTACTATGATGCAATGATACAATGCTTTTTCCTTGAAAATTAAGCGTGTGGCAAATAACGTCTACACTGACACATTGATTTGGATGAAAATTAGTCATTTTCCTGCTACCCTTACACATTGAATAAATATGCTAAAATTACTCAAATTGAAGTAAATTTAAGCCGGAAACTTAGAGAAAATTCGCCGGTAACATAAATGCTGTTATGAAAATAGGGCCAAAGTTTACTTTATTTTACATGTGTGATCACCTAAATTCAAATCCATTTAACATAAAACAGATCTTAATGACAGATACCTCGCAACGTACCTATTCATCAGAAGAATGTGCATGAGATAGATTATGAAATAAAATAAAAAAATAAGAAAAGCACAAAACAAGGCAATTAAGTTGTCTAAAAGCTTACTTCGTCTACGGATTCATCGTGTGGAACGCCAAAAGAGCTTTGAATCTCGACTGATGACTTGTCAATAGTTCCAAGAAGTGTTCCTATGACTCTTTTTGCGTCTTCCGAACGTCTTTCGAAGCCATCCACGATCGAAAATAACACTACAGGATGAGCGAACACTTTCCTAGCTCTCACTATCTCCGATAGCGCCATCTTGAATCCTACGCACGTGTTTAATTAGTTACCAGGTCGACTGGGTCCATTTTGCTGGTTGAGCTTTCGATCTACTAATTACACGCCAGCATTTCAGAAGGAAGATAACTCTGGTCAGGGTTGTCATGTTAAAATGGGGAGAGGTTTCTGTCAGAGTGGGAAGTTATGATTTTAGAAGAAACTTCCTGGTTTTCTTAATTGTGATTTTCCTTTTTGCTCTTTCATCGCAAATTTGTTACTTACTATATTTTGATTTTAAAACCTTTCGACGTCTTCATTTTTTTCCCGAAGACGTGAAACCACAGGGATAAAGGATTGTTTAGAGATAATTTGACCTGAGTAATCTTAATTGGTGTCTTGAAATCTCAACTAAGTTTATTTCAAAACAACAACAAACCGAGATGTACAAAGTCAGCCATTTAGTTAAGCACATGGTTGCCTTCGCTCTGCGCATGCTCTAGTGTTACAACAATAAAATAGATCTGCAAAATATCAACACAGTGAGAGAAAAAAACATACCTGCTCCCATACTATGAAACATTCTAATAGTTAATTTGCTATACGCACAGTTCCTGTTTTCGCCTCCCTGTTTACTCGACATAGGCATATCTTTATTTTATGTATTTGCAGCAATCAGCACGTTTCAGGAAGGCAAAATCCCAGCTGTAATGATCTCCACGAATTGCAAGATTTTTCCAAAATAATGAAAAAAAAAAAAAGAATTAAATGCAATTTCTAAACCACTGAATATCTTTTTCGTTTAATGCATTATCTTAGGGTGTAATTCAGGTATTATTCTTCCAGTTTGCTACGACGGAAGGTTTTAATAAAGCATAACTGAGGGTCTTGATGAGATATATTCCAGAAATGGAACGAAAACAGCACTTATACATGACGCGTACTGTCCAAAGTCCAGTTCCTACTATTACTAAAATTGGGCTGATGAAAACTGTACTGTCACGTTGGAGAATTTTGACATAGTTTTAACTGTAATGATGAGTGTCTATAGTGATAACAATAATGGGAATGATAAAGGTAAAGATACTACTAATAATGATAGTTGTGATAATACTAATAATGACACTGATAATAATGAAAGTAATGACAAGCTAAAAATTTATTCCATATTAAAATCTAACGATTAAAATCGGTATGCGCGTAACTTATATGCAAGCTTGTAGAAAGAGACTCACTGAACACTCGTGAGAAAAATGGAGGTACTGATAATATATAATAAGAATGATATAAAAAGTTCTGATATTAAAAAAAAAAAAAGTGAAAAAAACTATATTACCCTCTATTTGATAGGTGCTGAGCGCGAGGTTACAGCAAAAATTCACGAGAGATTCTTGCTGCCCTGCCCCACATTTAGCGATCCAGAAAATGTTACAAGTATCGGTTGGTACGGCTGCTCTAACGATGATTGCGAACATGACTGGAACAAGTTCCTGATAGCGTATGTTGAAAATATGACAGATACAATTGCCGATAACCCAAATTTTGAACTTCACACCAACCACACCTTAGTTATCAAGAAGGTACTACCTGTGGATGATGGAAAAATGTTTATTTGCATTGTCAAGGAGAAGCTCGTAGGGAGAAGTATGTCCACGACGATCCTCCATATAGCCAAAGGTAATATTTATATTTGTTATATAATGATGATGATCGAAATAATAATAATGTAATTATGGTAATGACAATGGAAATTTAGCAGTGGACAATCAACGTGGTGGCTTTTGTTGTCCACGTTTTCCAGGTCGAAATGAAATTTGGAATGTTATTTTACAGGGGGGAAGGATAACTGGGAAACCCTGAGAAAAGAGCGGTGCAAGGACGAGAAGCAACAGAAACCCACTTGTAACGCCAGGGACCGTTTATTGAGGGTCCGGTAGCTTAACGTGGCCTCAAAATTTTCTGTTTTCATTTACGTTGGGAGCTTCAACAGTTCTGAAACAAGTTTACAATGAGACTGTCTGTTAAAGAAACAAATTGGACCGGTAAGTGTACCAGAACCGCTTCTCTGTTCTTTAAATTTTGATATTAAAATATGGATTTTTAGCCTTAAACTTTGCAGGACCTTTTTGAAACGGGCGCCAGCTCCGGGAAGTGAATACAGGCGACAGCAAAGGGAGGCCAGCGCTCTCACCACTGCGCATGCACTATCCCCACTCCTCGCTTTCGTTTATTTAATTGTATCACTTTGGACGCTGTTTCTTTGCAGCTTTGCTTTTCTATTTTTAGCTAAAGGAATGCAAACCTTAATCTTTTTTTAGAACCGCCAAAATTAATACCAAATAGTCCTCGATGGATCAATGTCGTTGAAGGAATGGATCTTTATATGGATGCGCTTGTGCGTGGCTATCCTTCCCCCTTGGTAACTTGGAGCCATGACGGGCTCTTCTTACAGAATACGTGGAATAACGATTCAGAAACAAGTCTTTTAATTCGCAGTGTCACTGTATATCAAGGCGGAAGATACACCTGTTATGCCAAGAATCCATTTGGAGATAACATCTTCACCATAGACGTTTATGTTAAAGGTATTGATTTCATTCCTAGTTCATTCATAGTAGCCTGTCAGGAAAGAGCAACGCGGAGAAAGTTTGCTGTTTTTGGTCTATTATTTTTTAAAGTATACCAGTGATTCACTTTACCACTCTGTTTCTACCCTTAGATTTCCAAACTCCACCATCCTCAATAACATCAGGTAAGTACAGTTTGTTCTATTTCAATTTTGGCAATGTCAGTTTTGGAGCAAACTTTTAAACTGTGTCCAAACTTATATAGGATTGCATTGATTTTTATCGATCCTTTTTTTCACAATCAAGAAGTTATTTACTTTGCCACTCTGTTTCTACCCTAAGATATCCGCGATCCACCATCTTCACTAACATCAAGTGAGTACAATTTGTTCTATTTCAATTTTCTAAATGTCAGTTCTGGAGCAAATTTTAAACCATGTCCAAACTTATATGAGATTGCATTGAGTTTTATCAATCGTTTTTTCACGACCAAAATCTTTATTAGTGGTATTTTTTTATCATCAAACTCAACTCTAGTATATCTCAAAGCCGCACTCGTGAAATTTCACACGCACCGATAGAATGTGATTTTCAACCTGGTTACTTTAAGAATTGTCTTCTTTCCTTTCATACCCTCATTCCTCCTCTTTTCTCCTCACTCTCCTCCATTTCAATACTCTTCCTCATCCCTATTCCTACTTATACCCTCTCCCTCTAATAGAAAAGCAACTTACAGTCGAACCTGTGCTAAGCGGTCACAAACGGGGAAAGGCAGTGTGACTGTTTCATACAGGTTGGCCGCTATGCAGGCTCCTCAGAACAGAGGTAATATAAGAAAAGGTTTAACAGAGCCATTTTAAGGTACGATTGACCACTTAATGCACAGAATCTCCTTCATAAAGTTTTATTTGGATGGTTCCATTTTAAGAGACCGTTCGACAAGATCAGCATTGATGTTGTATCGTCTTACGAAGAAGTCGTGGTGTGCTTAGTGTGACAGTCTGAGTTTAGGCCTTCCTCATTCAAAACCATGAAAAGTTGTAGGTACTGCAGAAAATTTGACAATTTTTTTTTCCATTACACCAGAGAAAAGTATTTATGGCAGAATCTCCCAATATTCCATTCCAGTGGCAGCTGACAATTTTCCACTTTCCTCCTTCTGTCGGGTTTGCTTTTGTCTTGAATATTGCTGAAGGTGCTACATCGATTAATTTACTTTCTAATCCTCTTCCAATTTGTAATGGGTTTGTGTTTTCTCCAACAATAGTGAATATTTTTTGTTAATGATATTTCTGATCATCTTCCGATTTTTGCCATTATATTGGGCTATAAGCATGCTTTTGGTGATCGCAACAGGTATATTACCTTTTGTCTCAAAAATCAACAAAATATGCCAAGATTTAAGCCTGAGCTTGAAAATGTAAACTGAACGGAGTTACCCGGTTACAATGATCCGTACGTAGCCTATAGAAGTTTTCTTGAGAAGCACACTGCTGTTTATAACCAATGATTTCCTTTTTCCAAAGGCTACACAACATTCAAACTCTGGCTTTCCGAAGCACTTTTAAAATCAATTTGGGGAAAGAAAGTACTATATTAGCGGTTTTTTGATAATCCCATCCCCCAAAGAGATTATCGTCATTAGTGCTATAAGAATAAACTCAGTCACTCTTTACGAACAGCTAAACGTCAATATTACGCTAAGGGGATGGAAGAGGCAAGAACTAATGTAAAATGCACTTGGAGGCTGCTCAATGAGGACCTGAACAAAAAAACTTCGAAACTGACATTACCGTCGTTATCTAAATTTGACAACAAAGAGATAATCATCAGACCCTAGACAAATTGCTGAGCAGTTTTGTAGATACTTCACAGATATTGTTCCCAGTCTAGCTAAGAATATTCCCGCATCTCATAAATCGCACCGTCACTTTCACTCCGTGGATTTTATGGATTCTTTATATTTTGATGAAATTTCTGAGCATGAAGTAGTCAATATTTGTGGCACTTTGCGCTCTGAGAAAGCTACAGGCTTCGATAATATTTCCACAAGTCTTATCAAAGAAACTATTACTTCAATTAGCAGTACTTTGATTCATATCTTTAATTTAAATCGCTAAGTTCTGGAGTTTTCCCAGCAGAGCTAAAGATTGCTCGTGACGCGTCCGGCATTGTTTGAAAGTGCTGATAAGTTATTATTTTCAAATTACAGACCTATTTCTGCTCTACCCTCTTTCTCTAAAATTTTCGATGCCGAGGCAATAAGCTTTTGATAAATATAATTACGCCAAATTTCATGGTTTTCAAGCCAAAAAAGAAAAGGGAAAATCTTAACATTAAACTAGAGATTAACCAATGTACTATTGACCAAGTTAAAGAGTATATGTTTTTAGGTGTTATTCTTAACGGAAATTTGTCATAGAAACCCAAAATTGCTAACATCGTTATGAAAGTTTCCAATTCCATTAATTTAATCTGTAAATCTAGTCTCTGCCTACCTACTTTAAATTTACCTTGTACTATAGTCTTGTTTATCCCCACCTTCTTTATTACATTACGGTATGGGGCTCCACTTATCCATCCACCTTGAAACGTATTGTCCTAATCCAGAAAAAGGTGGTAAGAATTATGTCAGGAAGTGCTTTTAACGCTCATACTGAACCTATATTTAAGTAGTTGAAAATTAATTAATTAATCTTTGCAAAACACTCCTCCCATAATTACATCTGCATCTTTTTCAAGAGAAGCAAAACAAGCCTATTATGCTTCCATATCTAATCAAATAGTTTTTTGTATATATTGTTGTCCCATTTCTTTTATTTATCTTGATAAGACTGAAGACGGTTAAGACTTGTGAAAGAGTAGAGGAAAGGGAAATCGAAGACTCTGTCTTCTGTGTAAGAGAAAAAGTGTCTTCTGTTGTTCGTTGAATTGGATATTCTTAGTCTACGTGAAACTTTTTTTTTTGCGTTGCATGGTGCTTTGATAACTTCTTGATCACATTCATATATAGGTGACGCTCTGAATGACGATGGGTGTTTCCACTTTTTTCTGTTTTAACTCCCTATGGACATCTGTCTGTAAATCGAGCTCTAAGCTCCGTACGCTTTCTCTCGTCACGGTTTTGTTGTTTTTTGTTTGTTTGTTTGTTTTTACAATCACTCAGTTGGAGGAAAAAACATTTCATCTTTTTTGATATTATTATTATTTTAATCTCTTAGAGACCCAAAATCCCTCAGATTCACCTCCCCCAAGTAAGTGTACGTCTGTTCCTTTTCTTTTCTTTAGATGAATTGCTCCTCTTTTTTAGTCTATTAGTCTAGCATGTTACAGCGACAACCTAAATATTCCTCTTGAGCCCACGGTCTCCTCACCCCTTAGGTATAAACACCGTTTCCACTCCTTAAGCTTTAAAAAGGTTCTTGTTGGTGATCTTGGTTTTTTTTGCTAGCTAAGATGTAACAAGACATCTTTTCGAAAGGTACATGGCCAGAAAGAGTGGTGTTATTGTTAATACGTTAGTTTATTTTATCTTTTTTCTTCTGCTGTTTGTTGAACTGGATATTCTCAGTCTACGTGAAACTTTCATTTTTGCGCTGCATGGTGCTTTGACAACTTCTTTGTCATATTCATATGTAGGTGACGCTCTGAATGACGATGGGTGTTTCCACTTTTTTTTGTTTTAACTCCCTATGGACATCTGTCTATAAATCAAGCATTAAGCTCCTTACGCTTTATCTCGTCAGGGGTTTTGTGTGTTTGTTTTATTTTGTTTGTTTGTTTTGTTTTACAGTCACTCAGTGGGAGGATATTATAGAAGCAGGTTAGCAATTTTTTTTTGATATTACTATTTTTTACTTTTTCTTAGGGACCCAAAATCCCTCAGCTTCACCTCGCCAGAGTAAGTATACCTCTGTTCTTTTTCTTTTCTTTAAATGAATTGCTCCTCTTTTTTTAGTCTATCAGTTATGTTACAGCAACAACCTAAATATTCCAGGCCTCTTGAGCCCGCGATCTCCTCACCACTTAGGTATAAATACCGTTGTCACTTAGCGAGGATCACTGCTTAAGCTTTCAAAAGGTTCTTTATTGATGATCTTGGTTTTTTTGTTAGCTAAGGTGCAATAAGACATCTTTTCTAATGGTACATGGCCAGAAAAAGTGGTGTCATGGTTTTCTTTGTTTGTATGTTAGCTTTATTATTTTGAAGAAAGGAAAAAAAAAAAAGGCGAAAACTCGATCGAAATCTTTACGAATTTAACCAGTATTACTGATTTCAGATGTTTCAACTGCTTTGGTTTTCTGTTCAACTGTTCCTTTTTCAAGAATAATACTCTTTTTTTCCCCATGATACCATTTTGCGTAAAATTGAGGTTAATTCATTCTTACAACATGAAAAATAGTGCCATAGCGATTTATGTAACAATTACTTCAATCAATAGCAGCTTCCAGGATCGTCTGGAGAAGAAATCATGAATTCCTGTAATTACCTGAATTTTTTTTTTGGTGTCCAACTATGCGATAAAAAATGTTCCCCGTTGAAATCTTGTACGAGTAAAACACACATGTTCCTTCCCCATTCACACAAAACTTTAAGCCACAATAAAATGTCAGCCATTAAATATGTACTGGTTTGGTGGTTTCTGTGATCCCCAGTGTTACATAATGCACCTACTTTGTATAATAGTTCATAACTGAAAAGAAAAAATAACTGTTCATTCTTAGAAAAGGAAGATGGGGAAGTCTTTCTCTGGTTAACCGGTCTACTTGCTGCACTTCTTTTAATTGCTGTTACAGTCATAATCTATCTGGTTGTGAAAATCAGGAAGCCTGATCTGCACATCTCAGATCACACCCGTGGATTCGAAAGTTAAACTGTTCACCCAAATTCTGCCGTTGACGTTGGAAGTAGTGATGACAATCCACTAGTACGTCAATTCACCACATTAGGGCAATGGAACGCGCAAAAAATGCTACCGTATTTGTAACTGCTGTCGGGCT